ACCCCGGTCATGGAGGCTCCAGAGCCCGCAGGTGGAGAAGCGGCAGAGACTGGGACACGGCCATGCACTGCGGATGCCTGGTCTGACCTGTGGGACACCATAGGCGGAGCTGGGAATGAGGAACTGAGGAGCGGGTCACGGAGGAGACATCCTTGAAACGCACATCCAGAGAGACCGTCTAAACCTCTGGGCAGTTGGTGGCTGGACGGATTCATGGGGCAGGCTTCTGGAGTGCTGATAGTTTTCTTATTCTGAATGCTGGGTCTGGTTGTACAGCCAGTGTTTTGATAAAAATCGATCAAGTTCAGACTTTCTCTATGCTTCATTTTTTTATATATACATTGTGCTTCAATAAAAACTTAAAATGGGGCCAGCAGGTGTCATAGTGGTTAAGGCACTGGACTTCCACATGGCTGAGTCCTGGACCTGGCGACTTGAATATCACACCAGGCACGTGTGTATGCCCAAAATCCCAGGAGTAGAATGGAGGAGACAGGATTTCACTTTCTCTCCCACTGTCTCTCTCTGTCTCGCTCTGGCAAACACATGTACTCTATGGCAAAAACCTTTAAAAAAAGGTAAAAAGATCATTCAGAATGTAGTTCATACAAGAAATTCAGCGACACCGGCGAATAGTGGTGAGGGTGGGACCACTCTAGCTGCGGCGTCTGGAGGTTCCTGAGGAGGCTGTATTTGAGCGAGATGGAGCCCCTGCAGAGGATGGGCCAGGAGGCTCACCTGCGTCAGCAGACGGCCGCCCTCATGCCGGCCCGAATGGCCCAGACAGTACCTGGTTAGCTGGTGGCTGACGTTTCCTGTCTTTGTTTTAATAGTTTTACCCTTCGGTGTGTGTCCCTAAACAACAAAGGTAGTTTACCTTTGCCTAGTTTGAACTTCAAAGATAAAGTTAAATTTAAAAAGTAAAAAAACTTACACTAAGTTTATTGTTTTGATGTTTACCTCCCGGTAAATATTTTCTACGTCCATCACACCATCCTGTGTAGATGTAGTTTTCCCACCTCCCTTCATGCGTGATATCCTGTTGGCTGCATATACAGTGCTTCTGCTATAGACATGTCTGTACCTCCGTCCTCAGCATAAATGCAAAACCGGGCAACACTCCTCGAGTGGAATTGCTGAGCTCCCAAGTGTGCACACTTGAAAGCCTCCTATTGCATTATCGGGAAAGTCATGACACGTTTTTACATAGAAAATCGTAGAAAAATACACCATGACGTTCCCGACAACCTAAGAGAACCTATATTACAATAGTCATAGTTCTTCAGTGGAGGTCCACATTTGGCCAACGAGGTACTGACTGAATTTTTAATATCTGCTAACCTACTGGGTATAGAATAGTACCCAGTATGATTTTAATATGTATTTTTATGATTTCTATGAGAGTGGGTAAGTCTTTCTTGATTTACCAGTCATTTTACTTTCGTGAAGTGGCTGCTCAAGTTTTTGACCATTTTCTATTGTTTCTGCCTTTTATTATGTTAATGCTCTTTCTGTGTCTTAAGTGATCATTTCTTGTGCTAATGTAAATAAAGTTATTCTCATGTCTTCTAAAACCTGCGGAGATTTCTCTTTCTTTATATTTCAATCTTTATCCACCTAGAATAGATTTGAAATGTACGGCATTAGGTATTTTTTATTTTCCATATGAGCAAATCTTTTTCTCAGCACAATTTCTTGATACATTCCGCCTTGTCCTGGTCAGCAGTGACATCTCTGTCCCCTTTGCAGTCGGTTTTCAACATCATTGCCCACGTTCGACCTTCCCAGTCCCTGCTTCCTTGCCTCACTTGGTCCAGTCAAGACCGGCCTGCACCCTCGCCAGCCAGCATGTGGGTAATCCAGCCATTAAAGCTCGAGCTCACTGCCCAGA